AAGGGCTAGGCGGCCTTTGGCTCAAAATGCTCCATGATTTAATTTGAAAATCCTTGATTTGGTTTAGTTAGGTTCATCATATGATGATGAGACCTAGCTAAATCAAATCTATGAAAAATTAGGAGCAAAATGAGTCCAATATGCAAAATTTTGCCTAGGCCCAACTCAGGCCCAATTTCTAAGCACACCCTCAAGCATTGCTAAATGCCACCCCTTTTTCCCTACTGAAAAAATAAAAAATGAATGTATCAACTAAGGAGGTTAAATGGAGTTAAACTCTCCAAGTAACCTACTTCAAAATCAATATACAAACACTAGAAAAAGCAAGTAAAGTGCCTCACAAATACAAAGACAAAAATAACCTATACAAAAGAACTACTATATGTATAAACATAAGAAAAAGGTCTTTAAGATCATCCCATTCCTCTTGGTTCTTTTAGTATATCACCTCTTGGATTCCTTGGCCTTGGCCATAGTCTATCAAATAATATTTTAGAAATTATTTTAGTATGTTAATGTATTTATTTTGGAACGTTTGGTACTATTTAAGTATTCATATGAGCATTATTTTGTTATAAAGCATGATTTGTAATTAGTATTTTGATATTTAATGTAATTATTTTAGAGTTTTGATATTTTTAATTAATTATATGAACACTATTTTATTTATGAGGCGTGATTTATAATTATTAGTTTGATTAGTGATATATAGGTAACTTTTATGAAATGTATTTTATTAATTGTACTATCCGTACTGCAAAGCCGAGCTCCCAGCTCGGCATCACAGCGCATGGCGACCTCGGATACGCGCTATGTGACGTCAGCTCGTCACTTAAACAGATCATAACTGATCTCGGGCCCAAGGCCCAACGAAACCCTAATTCACACTAAGGTACGTGCATTACTTATACGAGACATCAACTCATACAAACCCTAACTTTAGCATCGGAGTCTCTTTTGCAGGTACCACCCCCATCTTGGAGCACAAAACGTACCCGTGAAGGAGGCTCACCAATCTTACTCGGCGGATCATCTCTACAGCAGATCTCCTGTAAGAACATTTGGCACCCACCGTGGGGCCGATCAAGACAGCTCTTATCGGCCACGCTAATGGTATTCACCAGAAGCCATAGTAGACGCGCAACAGACGACGCAGATCACACAACTACCATGGATAACGAAGCCACATTGAGGAGACTGATCGACTAGGTCGAACAGATGCGGCAACAACACGATGCCGATCTGCGAAACATGCGTGCCCAACACGAAACTGACCTAGCGACGATGAGGACCGCCAATGAAGCTGACCTAACGGCACTACGTGCCGAAAACGAGCGAATTCGTGCTCAGCTCCCTCGACGCCCCTCTGATCATCAGCCTCAGGCGAGCAACCTCCATGAGGAAGAAGGACATTCAGTCTCCCAACCCCGGACTGTAACTAGGGCACCGACCCCGCGACCTGCCACGCATCGGTCTCATGCACCGACGAACAAGTCAGCCCACGAAGTCAGCAAGGCCCCAACTCAGGCCACGGGGGGTCAGGCAACCTTCCGCCGTAAACCTTGATAAAATTCATTTTACTCTAATTTTTGGTCGAGTATGAACCTTAATACGCTTATCCGAGGTCGAGTTTGAACCCTGATAAAATTCATTTTACCCTAATCTTAGGTCGAGTACGAACCTTAATACGCTTACCCGAGGTCGAGTTCGAACCTTGATATAATTCATTTTACTTTGAGGTCGAGTACGAACCTTAATACTCTTATCCGAGGTCGAGTTCGAACCTAGGCACGATCTATTTCACCCTAAAAGTAGAGGTCGAGTTCGAACCGTGGTACAATTTATTTCATAATAAGCTACGAGTCGCGTTCGAACCTCAAGACAAAACATACACATCAGGCCATGTTTGAGCCCCGCAAGAGCGCAAAACACACAAGTCCAAGAGCAGAAGAACCATCGATATATACACAATAATGTATGCTGAGTTCCAAACATGAATTCAAAAGCAATAACCAAATAGGAAAAATAAACTAGGCTATCACAAAAGTGGCCTAAGCAGAGGCATTTTCACTGGAGTTGTCCCCAAGGTCATCCTCCACCACTAGCTTCCCAAAGCGGACCACTTTCTCCACATGCATAGCGGAGAAGTCGAACCCCGGGGCGAGAAACCTCGCCTGGCGAGCTGCCTTCAGAAATCCCCTCTTATGCTCAAAAATAACAGCTCGCTCGGTCTCCTCAAGCTTCCTCTCCATTCTCGCCTTCGCCTCCTCCAGCTTCGCGAGGTCCACCCTCAGAGAGGCGTTCTCCTCTGCTTGGCCACCAAGGAGCACCTCATCGCAAAGGCGCTTCTCGGCCGCCGCCACCAGCTCTGCCTTTTGTGCGGTGACCTCGTCCTCCAAGGAGCGCACCCGAGTCTGGGAAGAATTGGCCTGCTCCCGCAACTCGCCCATCTGAGTAGCATAGGTCTCATTAGACCTCAAAGCAATCTCCAAGGACTTCTGGACCCTGGACCTCGGCAGTGTCCCCTGCCTGCAAAAACTAATGCCATGTCAAAAAAGGAAAAGAAAAACATACAAGATAGAGGAAAAAACGAAAAGCGAGGTACTCACCACAGCGGCCTAGGCGACCTGCTCAGCAACCGGGGCCTCCACCTCGGAAGCTATCCCTGCTTGCAAAGAGCAATAGCGCATCAATAAACAAAGCAAAATCGACATAGAAGAAAAGTTAAAGAAAACAAGACACTTACCTCGGCAGAAGGAGCAACTTTCTCAGCAGTCGCCGCAGCGGCCATTTGGGGAGCCTCCCCAGGTGGAGGGCTCCCAGTGAGGTCAACTACATCGGCATCAGCGGCCTTGGAGGTCACCTCCTCCGTTCCACGAGGGGCAGAGGTCCCCCCGACCTCCTCCTCGCCCCTCTTTCTTTTTCGGTTGACCTTCAAGGGGGAAATCTCCTCCTCTTGAGGCTCGGTGACCTCAATTTCAGCAACATTGTAGCGATGCTTCAGCTCACGCCACTTATTCCTGCCCATTATGCCTACAAGCACAAAAAACAAAGCACATCAGAAAAAGAAGTTTTCACAAATCCTAATAGTCTAGAGAGGACGAAATACTCACTCTCCAGGCCCCTCTCCTTGTACGCAGAATTCGCAAGCGACAGGACGAGCTTGCAATCCAGCGGACAAGGAAGCATGGTAAGTTTATCAATGGCGGCCTTATCCGAAGCCGTCAACTTCAATTGGCCCACCCCGTGAAACCTAGACGGTTTGGGGCACCAATAGAAAGGGAACTTCGGCAACCCGCCGAAATAGAACGCCCCATCCTCCAAGGGATCGACATCCACAAGGGCAACCCAGAAGAACTCTTGTTTATAATTTTTGTATGACTGGGAGTAGAGAGTAAATAAATCCCCATCCCTACTCCCACTCAGGGACAGCACGCCATAAGGTGGAACGCCTATTTCAGTTGGTAGAAATGAAGAAAGTGATAGACCATGGGCCAAGGGCCCAATCACTAGAGCTATGGCTAGAAGAATCCAAGAAGAGTTGGACCTTGTGAAGACTAGTGGACTTGTCAAGCCCAAGGTATTCTTCACTTGGAATGCTCTATCATGAAGAGAAGGCCTAGTTCTACTTGTATATATTGAATAATTTTTACATAGTCTCTTGTATAGGTTATTTTTTGCCTTTGTATAGAACCAACGCGAAGAAGAAACCTCCGAAGAAGAAAAACAGAAGAAGAAACTTGAGGAGGCTTCGGAGGGATGAGGTGCAGAAGAAGAAACAACGCGCGGGAGAAAGAAATTTTTGAAACCTAGCCATGCGCGCACACCTTCTTTTAAGCAGGCTGTGGCTTATTTACGTCAGTCCCTTTAAGGTCCGACGTAAATTTTAACATCTACGTCGGACACTATGTATAGCCGACGTAGATGTTAAAATTTTACGTCGGTCCCTTAAAGGTCCGACGTAAAAAAGTCATAAAAATTAAGAAACGTGCCACCGCATTTTTATTACGTCGGGTGTTTGTATTTCCGACGTAAAATGGGTGACGTAATATCCTAATTTTCCACTAGTGTCTCCATAAAGAAGCAATAAGTATCAGTTTCCATACCTTGTGAGGAATCATAAAACCAATGAAAAGGTTCCACAACATATAAAATGGAGCAGCAATGATCGACATTATGATTTGGTGTGACAGCCATTGTCATCATTCCATAGAAGGTAAAATATAGCATCGTAAAATACATGAAGAATAAGTACCAAATGAACCTATCAACAGTCCAGACAAAGGAAGCCATGGAATAGAATATTGTAGAGTATATCATAGCCTGTGCGAACACATAAGGGAACTCGATCACAACCTGCACATTGTAGGATAGCGAGTCAACTTATGGAAACTCGTTGTTTCCATGCACTAATTCAAAATGAATGTTATATCTAACAAAATACCTGAGCAAATGCAAATGATAAAGCCGAATACATCCCTGCAGCCCTTTCTCTATAAGAAACAAATCTTTCCACGGAAACAACAGGCTGAACAGCTGTGCCATTTGTTATACTAATGAAGAGGATTGCCGAATACATGGATCCCATGGCATTGAATAGATCTTGTTGCGTCTCCCTGCAAAAATACTAACATGGTTGGTACATAAAGCCTGATCGTTAGAAAACATAAAATACGTCAGCTAAATATAATTGTTAGAGAAGTAACCTCTAACATCCACGTAGCAGGGTTATATCCATATCTGATCTTTTGAACTCCTTCGATTGCCTACAGAGATATAGATATTATGAATAACATTCAACCATACCACATGATCAGTGAGAGCTAAGAGGGCATCAGCTGACCTCAAAATAACTGATAATTAGTTCACTAGATTTAGGACCAAGTGGACTAGCATAAATGAGCTCTCCTCCCCTTTTCATAAACAGAAGCTATAAAAGAAGTCGGGATTTCGTCAGACTAGCAAAGAGAAAGCAAGTGTTAAAAGAGAAATTCAAATAAAAAGATAATATATATATATGTGTGTGTATATGATGCTCTCTTTTAGAAACCACTGATCATTTCGAATTATAGACAGGATTAGGAAAGCTGAAATATACAAATAAAACAGCTACGAACATATATTACACGTACAAAAACAAAATAGAAAGGAAATACGGTATAGCAACTATATAGTGCATGCTTGGATGCCTAATAGGATAGCTCAAAAGTACTTTTAAACCTAACAACAAATTCTTCTTCATTTTATGCTTTGAACTTCACGGGAGGCCATCATCATCGAGACACAGAAGTTGCTGAACGCTGGCTTCAACTGTGAGGTCAGATACACCACATGGCTGGCGAATGTGGTCCTAGTGAAGAAGAGCCCGGGGAAGTGGCGCATGTGCGTCGACTACACCGACTTGAACAAAGCATGCCCCAAGGA